GGAGATAGAGTCAGGTGGCCTCAAAGACCGAAAAGTCTCTTGGGGAAAACTCCGTCGAGTCGACTCTCTCAATTTAGAGGCTGGAAGACTTTCTTTTAAGCCATCTCATCGTTCCCAGGTAGTTCTATATTGTAATCTGCTAAGGTTATCTGCACTGCATATGTTCTTACTTTAGTTTGGTGATATGAATATGAAACAGGTAAGCTGGAAGACAACTCTGAGTTTAGCATTTCAGAGCATAGGAGTAATATATGGAGACATAGGGACTTCACCGTTGTACGTATTTGCGAGCACTTTTACTGATGGAATTCAACACAATGACGACATTCTTGGAGTGTTATCTCTTATTATCTACACCTTAATTCTAGTTCCCATGGTCAAATATGTCTTCATCGTCTTGTGGGCCAACGACAATGGCGATGGTGAGTGATTTCAACTTCAATTATTATCTGTCAAAGCTTCACCTATATAGGATAATGAGATTTGATACGAGAAATAATCAAGAAATGCCCTGGAAGACATGGAATGGCGACTAGCTAAGCAAGCCGTTCTCACAAAAAATTACTATCGTGATACCAACAAACAATAATAGAGCTCTCGAGGGGTATCTAAATATGAAAATTTAACCTTTGAGTTTTCAGGCGGCACATTTGCTCTTTACTCCTTGATATGCCGGTATGCAAAAGTAAGCCTAATACCAAATGATCAGCCGGAGGATAGGCAATTGTCAAATTATAGACTGGATACTCCCTCAAACCAGTTGAGACGGGCTCAGAAGATTAAAGAGAAGCTGGAGAATAACAAAACTGCAAAAATTGTGCTTTTCCTTGTCACAATTCTGGGAACATCGATGGTGATTGGAGATGGTGTCCTTACTCCTTGCATATCAGGTCAGTCGATATTGCATTCTTTTAAACTCCGGTTCTAGAATCAACTTAGCAAAAATGAAAAATAAATAACTAAAAACGATAAGGCCACTTCAAGTATATTTCTTGTTTTCAACATGTGCACCCGTTGGATTACTTAGAAACCATTTAAGAACTCCTGATTTTCTTCTGGATTCGCAGTTCTTTCTGCTGTAGGTGGAATCAAGCCTTTAAACCAAGGTAACTACAACCTTTTTTTTCTCCCCTTTTCTTATTTTTTTGTCAATATACGACAATATAAACCAACATGATCTGACCATCACCTTTGTCTTCTTTGTCAAATTCATATGTTCTGCAGATGCTGTTGTGCTAATTTCCATTGCAATATTGATCATCCTCTTCTGTGTCCAACGACTTGGCACTGATAAAGTGGGATACTCGTTCGCTCCAGCCATCTGCTTATGGTTTACATTCATAAGTGGAATTGGTCTCTACAACTTATTTAAACACGATCCAAGTGTTTTGCGTGCCTTCTATCCAAAATACATAATTGATTACTTCAAAAGAAATGGTAAGAAAGGATGGATATCACTTGGTGGAGTTGTTCTTTGCATCACAGGTAGTGAACTATTAGTTCATTTTGGCTTATATTAACCTCTCAAGTCTTATATTCTCGCAGCCATAGTCTCATACTGTATTGTGCTACATGAGCAGGGGCTGAAGCCATGTTTGCTGATTTGGGTCACTTTAATGTGCGATCCATACAAGTAAGTTTCACACAACAATGGATAAGAGTGTTTTTTTAGTATCAAATCAAATCATCCGAAAGAAACTACGTGGAGAAAACGTAAAATAAACACTAACAAAAGACGATCTTTCATAAAATTTCATGACCTGATAACATGTCCAGAATAGTTTCATTTGAGAAACTTAAAACGTGTAAAGATTGAATAATTTACATCTACATACTGAAACTACTAGAACAAGTGCAAGGATTTACTTGTCTGTTTTGTTTGAAGAATGATTTTCTTTGATTGAAATTTTTCTATAAATTGAAGACGGAAGTGAAGATAATACTCCGGGTTTATTTGTTTCTCATAAGCGAGTTGGCTAACAAAAAATTGCAGAATAGTTCTAAAACAAAATTTGTTATATTGCAGATTAGCTTCTCTGGACTTGTGTTTCCTGCTTTAATTACTGCATACTGCGGACAAGCTGCATACCTTTCCAAGTTCCCTGATCATGTGGCCAAAACATTTTATGACTCTATCCCAGGCAAGTTGTTAGTCACACCTAACTGGGTAAATTAATATTCTAGAAATAATTGAAAAACTCATTTGCTGGTATACAGATCCACTTTATTGGCCAACATTTGTTGTGGCTAACGCAGCAGCCATAATTGCCAGTCAAGCAATGATTTCGGGAACCTTCTCAATAGTATCTCAGTCCCTGAGTCTAGGCTGTTTCCCAAGAGTAAAGGTTGTTCACACTTCTGCCAAACACGAGGGACAGGTTTACATCCCTGAGATCAACTACGCCCTCATGGTTGCTTGTGTCATAGTTACTTTTGGTTTCAAAACCACCGAAAAGCTAGGCCATGCTTATGGTAAGATCAAATACTTCTTAGTGACCTTGTACTCATCAAGATAACATTATTTGCAATAACTAATAAGTAATCTCAGATAATAGGCAATCGCCATTAATAAGTGCCAAATAGTGTCTACTTTTGCACAATATGAATCATAGAAAACTACATCTTTTACAATTTCGTTTTATGTGTAGTTTAACAACAATACAATTATATGCAACCAAGAGTAGAAATCTTGCACTACTTATGCACATTGAATCTTGTTTCTCAGCATGGAATGCATTTTAGATAAAAACACAAAATATGTGCAACCTGAGTTATTAAGAGTTATGCATCATTAAGCTAATTTCTACGAGTTTTTTCTTTGATTGAAGGGGTAACTGAAGTATACATTGTGTTGCAGGTATAGCTGTTGTTGCTGTGATGGTGATAACTACATGTTTAGTCTCCTTAATTATGCTGGTTATATGGAAGACAAAAATATGGTGGATTGCATCGTTCTTCGTCATATTTATTTTTGTGGAGATCATATATTTCACATCTGTTCTCTACAAATTCACACAAGGTGGTTACCTTCCGTTGGCCTTATCTTTTGTACTTGTGTTAATGATGGGAATATGGCATTATGTACACCAAAGGAGATATATGTTTGAGCTTAACAACAAGGTTTCGAGTGATTACATAAGAGACTTGGCAAAGAATCAGGATATAAACAGAGTACCCGGAATCGGTCTTCTGTACTCTCCACTTGTTCAAGGCATTCCACCAATATTTCCTCATTTCATTTCTAACATTCCATCTATTCATTCAGTTTTGGTTTTTGTCTCTGTAAAATCCATCCCCATTAGTAAAGTGGTAGCCGAGGAACGATTTTTGTTCAGACAGGTTGAGCCAAGAGACTACAGAATGTTTCGTTGTGTGGTGAGATATGGTTACAACGATAAAATCGAAGAACCCAAGGAATTTGAACGCCAGCTAGTGGAATACTTGAAGGAGTTTATCAGGCACGAAAATTTCATACTTGAAGGCGGATCAACTGAGCAAATGCAAGAGACAGTAAATATTCAGCATTCTGGTTTATTAAGAAATGATGATAAGGCTAGAAAATCCAGTTCAACCGCAGTTCATGTGGAAGAAGCACTGGAGCAACAAATTCCATCTCGCATTTCATCAAGCTCCACACAGTCTATTAACATAGCCAGATCGACTAATTGTTCTAGCAGGATCGCCCCTGTTCCCCTCCAGGGCGCCGAAGAAGAGATGCAATTTGTGCAGAAAGCAATGGAACATGGCGTGTATTATTCCATAGGAGAAACAGAAGTGGTGGCCAAACAGGATTCCTCATGGATCAAGAAGTTCGTCGTCAACTATGCCTACAGTTTCCTTCGGAAAAACTTCAGGGAAGGGGAACAGGGATTGGCCATTCCTCGTACCAGACTTCTTAGGGTCGGAATGACATATGAAATATGAGTGTTTACGAAAAAAGAAAGAGTGGGTTTTCAAGGATTTCAGTTAGTTTGATGATTTAATGGGAGAGATTTCCTTGTCAAGATGTATTTTGTCAAATGCTTTGTTGTATGTATAATGTACTGAGAAAATATTGTAAATTGGTAATTGTGATGAGAAATAAATGGATGCTGCCGTTCGACCTTTTAGCTTAGCTTAAATAACTTGGTTACCTTTTAAAGTATTTGTGTTTAATTATTTAATAATATTATTTATTTTTTAATTACGGTATAAACTGAAAAATATAAAAATAAAATATAATGTAAAAGATATTAGGTGTTTATAAAATTGTCATAAACTTTAGGGGAGATATACATTATTCAAAATTTGAAATAATAGAGGTTTTGTAATTTTTAAAAATGAAAAAAAAAAAATCTCTCTAATTGTTATAAACTTCAGAGGAGGTACTATTCAAATTTCAAATATTTTGAGATTTACGTAATTTTTGAAAATTGAAGGAGTGCCTCTAAAATCATTAAAAATTCCAAGGGACGTCTCTTTAATTTACCCACGTTTATATATGTATTTGTAAATACATTTTTGGTTGAAGTAATATTCTTCGTAATAGTCCACTACGATAGTTGCCCAAAGTAACATAAACATATCATGTGGTTATTTGATGCATTATATTGTAGTTTTTCATTAACTAATGCATCAAATAATCATCTGTCATATGTATGTCATGTAGAACAATTGTTGTGGTGAACGACTGCGAATAACATTGTCAATTAAAATTAATTTTTATTAAATTATTATATCTATATAACTATTAATTTTTATTATTTTAAAGGATAATAATAGTGAGAGGACTATTTTACCCTTCCTTAAAAGTCAATTAAAGGTCCACCAACATCTTTCAATGGCTCATTTGGATGAAAATCATACTTATGGACAAATTTGCTAATTTCTGAAAATTGAGAACAAAAACCGGACAAAAAAGGTTGGAGACAAGATTGATACCTTTGGCAAAGGTAAGGGACGGAATCTGTTATTTATCCGAATCAATATAACGAAAGGTTATTTATGGCTAAATACTAAAATGTAATTATTTAAAACGGATTATTTTTACGCAGCCTATTTGCCTCTTCAGAAAATACAGAGAGAGAGAGAGAGAGAGAGAGTCGGTGGAGAGGGATTTAATGGCGACCTCGAAATTTCAAGCTCTGTGGAATCACCCAGCTGGCCCTAAAACTAGTCAGTTCTTTCTCTACTATTTATTGCATGTATATATGGGCTTATATAAGTGTGTGTTTTATTGTTGATATGATATTTTCGTCTGATGATTAGATAAACATACAATGAAGTTTCTTAGATTTAGATCCAATTTAATAATTTATTCATAAACACTATAACCGAATTTGGGTAAATTTGGAATATTAAGTTTTCCTTTATTATCTTAATGTTCAGCGGATATGACCCTTTCTATTTGTTTGTAGATTTTATTTTTTGCCCATTCTAGAATAGGGATTGGATTTTGGGTTTTTTCGATTGAGTTTTAGATTTTCTTTTGTCGAGAAATTTGTTGAATGTTTGTGAAAATTGATGTTGCTTTCGAGATGCTAAGAGATTTTTATGTAATTTTAGATTTAAGTTTTTAAATCCAGCAGCTGGAAATTAGTTGGCTGGAGAATAATTGTAGGACGTTAGAAAGAGAGAAGAATGAAAAGATTAGGATGACTTTATGAAGTATATAATGGTGAATAAAAAATGTTCTAATTATTTAATTTGGGTCAATTACTGAAAAAAATAAATACAGGAAAAAAACTAGAGTGAGATTTCAGGAAAGCAGGCTTCTATTGAGTGACCAATCTTTTCATCTTTTGTTCGACATATATATACGAGGAACTAAAAGTTCTGACGGTTATCATTTAGAGTAAATATTATCCCATGAAAATTGCACAGTATATGGAATAAGAACCTTTCTAGTAACATTCCAAATAGTTTAGACTTTGGCAAGCTAGTTAATGTGCAATCGGAATGGAGTAGCTGTAAAATTCTTAAGCTGTTACAAATTACAAGTTAATATTTCCCATCCCTAATTTTTTTCTTCAATTTACAAAGTTTAATCCGATCTCAGACCTGAAATTAATCTACCATCTTATAATGAAATTGAATGTAAATCATATAGCAGCAATTGAGTCCTTTTTTGTTTCTTTTCTCATATGTATCCATTTTGAAGTTATTTATGGTTGGATTGATGTTGGACATTTTTGGTTTACATCTCACTCTTGAATTTACTATTATGTTATAGTTCATTTCTGGGCACCAACATTCAAGTGGGGCATTAGCATAGCCAATATTGCCGACTCCACTAAACCACCTGAGAAAGTTTCATATCCACAACAGATAGGTATCTCCATGTGATGATTTTTTGTACTCTTTATATCCATTCGAGTCTATCTAATGTGCACGAAATGGGAGTGATAATTGTTTGTGTTTAGGCTGTACTGTTATATGTAAATATATGACAAAGGTCTTTTTCAAATATTATTTTTTGGCCCAACTCTTTATTCCCCCTTTAGTTATGTTGATCATAGAACCAAATTATGCTTACTGACATGGTCATGCAACTGCAGCTGTTACAGCCACCGGAGTTATCTGGACTCGCTACAGCACTGTGATTACTCCTGTAAGTTCGATAGAGTACATATATTTGCCCAGACAAATTTCTTGTATATATTTTATGTGATGACACTATGTTCACTAAATTCCCATCACATTATTTTACATATTATTCAGGGAAAAAAGTTAATTGCTATGGCCTTTCTCTTCTTTAATGCATAGTATTTTTTCATTGGTCAATTAGATAATACTGCAATTTATACCCAAAAACCTGAATATTACACTCTTCCTGGTTGGCATATTGAGCCTTCTTTCTTCAATCTTCTTCGACTACGTTTTGCTTCTTGCTTTAGAATTTCAACAAGAGAAAACCCTAAACTTGGAATGAAAAACTGTAACGGAGTAAATAATATTCTGAATTTTGTTACTGAGATGGGATAATTATGTTGTGGAGATCATATTAAGTTATTAGCCTTTCGTAAATTTTCCATGTTAACAAGTTATATAATTTAAATGGATTGTGTATGTCTCCCTCTAGTATAACCTTTTCTCTGTGTTGTAGCTTCTAGTTGCATATCATGTAATATCTTTCATGTCTTTGTGTATTATCTTGTTCAGAACAGATAGGTTTTCATATGTCCTGAAGGGATCCTACTTCTTACTGTAGTCAACTCAAGCAGAACTATCAAAGATGTTTTTGATGGTATAACATCGATCTTGAGGAAGCTGAAAGAGAACCTTACATTTGTTTTTTCCCTTTACATTTTTCTCTTTCTTTAGTTGGGGGATTCATTATCTTCAGTGATTCATGGAATTTTAGGTTTTCACAGGAGTAATACACAATGTGACTCTAATTTAAGACCTCACCTCTAGTGCGTAGAGGCAAATCAAGTGGCTTATTTCTAGTAAAGGTTTTTAATCCCAATATTTCTGGTAAAAAAATAATAATAATAATAAATTCAGCTATGTAGGTTAATAATGTCTTTCACTTCTTGCTGCTAATTTCTTTTTATTTTCTTTTTCAATTTTCATCATCTTTGCCTGAATTAAAATTTTTACTTCTTTTGCATATTCTTGATTTCGTTTTCTCTTAGCCCATCAAATATGAAACTTGATTCAGAAAGCTTAGTTGATATATGTATTTGAGATTACTAAAAAAAGGTGCAACAGTAGCTGCTTCATCCTTTCCTTTGTCAACTACCTTTCTTTGTTGCTTCCTTTGCATGTGAATCCTCCTCCTTTTGACTACCTCAAAGAAGGAAACTAATGATGAGTTATGAATTCATTTCTCCAGGTTCCTTGAACCACGTTTCCTAACAAACCAGAGCCATCCAAGTTGAACTTATATTAGATGCCACATGCTCTGTGGCCCACTTTGGAATGTCAAGTGGCTGTAAGAACCCTACTGGGCAATTTTGTTATCGCCAGATCAGTGTGTGTGAAGTTAATATTTATAGACACCAGACTTCTCTCTTTCAAGGGCGGGGGATTTCCCCCCTAACAAGGTTTCTACAAATAGAAGGTAGGTAGATATTTTAGGGAAGTAAAAACTTGGGCAGAAGGAAGAAAAGTACGGACCTTGACATGTTGGTAACTTTACAATTGTGGAAAGCATGCATGTCATGAGGAAATTTCTATTAAGGTATAGCATCTAAGCCTGTTATTGGTGGGATAGCCTGGGTAGAATGAAGAAAGTGACAGGCCCTCGACATGTTAGTAGCATTATTATTTTGGAAAGTATGTGCATCTCATTGTTTATTTATTATTTTTCTGAAATTTTTATGGGAAGAAGAAAAAACTTGGTGCAGGAGAAATTTTCTATGAAGTTATATCAGACAATAAGATTGAGGTGCAATTCTTGTCATCTACTTTCCAAAAAAATTCTTGAATTGATCTCCTTATGCCCATGCGTCTTGTCCAAGGGTGAGTCTATTATTGAGCCTTTCCAGTCGCTTCCAATTGCCTTACATGACCAATTCAATCTCATGCCTCCTGTTGAATCTTTCTGCGTGGAGCAATGAGGTCTTTCTAGGTATCTGGCCTTTGTCATTCTAAATCTTTGATCCTCACTCTGGGCTGATGACTTCATTTCTAGGTAAGGGTTAAGTTGTCAGGAAAAATAAAGAGATGGCGCATTACATTGTAGTAGTTCTAGATCATGCAAAGCATGAGTCTTTGCTATGTTTTCTTTGTATTCCAGGTTTTAACATTTATGGCACGTTTGATAACAATGATTTAATAGAGCTGAACAATATTAAGGAAGAAGAAGAAGATCTAATACTGTATAAAACATACACTTATAGGTATATGCAGAGCACTGAAGCACAAATGCACGTAGACAAACAGAGAGTATCATCTGTTTATAAATGTGGCAGTGAAGTGATTTCCCTCTTCTGCTTTATACTGTTTTTTGTTCCTTGTATTCTCTTGCGCGGTTCTTCAAAGTTAAATGTCTTGTAGTTTTTTCTTCTCGAAGTTAAATGTCTTACAATTTTTTCCTGTCTGGGAAATTATCGATTATCAATTGCAGAAGAACTGGAACCTATTTAGTGTGAACGTTGCAATGGCTGCTACTGGCATCTACCAACTTACAAGAAAAATCCGGTGTGTCAATCATGTGTTATTTGTCACATTACGAAATTCTATCTGAAATTTTCTTTACACATCAGTGGTGTTGAAAGTGGAATCCCTAGCATTGCTTGTTATTTCATTTATACTTTAGTGTCACTCTGAATCAGTGTGGTGTGTTTCCAGGCACGACTACTTTAGCGAAGAACAAGCTGCTGTGGCTAAAGAATGATGACGAAACGCCTCTTTTGATGAGGGCCTGGCATGCCCGAATAGGCTACTGTGAAATTCACCTATTGGACATGTGTCACTTGTGCATGCCCTCGATGTTACTTTCTTTATTCCCCTTCTATTTCTATTAACATTATTAACATTGGTATCTTGAATCAGAGTGTCTTCATGATGATCTATGAAGGATAAAAATGAATCTTTTTATTCAAATGTTGCAATCGCCCCTAATTTTTTTTATTTTTTTTTTGGGGGGGGGGGGGGGGGGGGGGGGGGGACTCAAGTTCCATGCATATTAATGAGCTGCCACTTTAAGCTGTGAATAAAATTTCAATACATTATGTTCTTGCCATCGTCTTTTAATTAGAAGACATCGTCATGTTCTTTCAAACTGTTTCTGATCGTCTTTCACTTGACCTGTTTTAGAGTCGGGTTCCTTATCACCATTATTAGATGAGGAAATTACATTTGGGCCTGTTTTTAAGGTTTGCATTTCATTTGTCAGTTTTTAAGTTTAACCATCCATAAATCACGTATGTGAAATCCCACCTCACCCTAAACCCTAATTTATTTTCACCCAAATGAACTCCACTCTCCCCGTCCTTACACTAATTTATTTTCACCCCAAATGAGCTCCACGCTCCTCCCCACACCATCGACAATAGCTCCCAGCTTGAGAGACAAAGTTGTTCAATTGTTGCTCAGTACAGCGAAGGCGGTGAAGGAAGGTCTTGGCAAGGTCGACGGCAATGGTCTGCCTTGTCAAGAGGCATTTGCAATAGTGAGGATTTGGGAGGATGGCTCGATGGTGGTGGGAAGGGGTGAGGATTGAGCGGTGTAGAGACTATTGATGGGGAGGACGGTGGTTAGGAGATCGGACAACCAAGGCGCGTTGGCGGAGGATAGCATTCTAGCTTGGTTGGACGCCGACTGCTTTTTTGCTTCTCTCCCTGTGTCTTGCTGCTAAATGCGTTTTTCAATTTGATTTTGCAGTAGTGATGTGGTGGTGGGTCGGAGGCGGTGGTGATGGGTTGTGATGGTGATCTATGTGTGGTTTGTTTGGATGCAATGGTGGTGTGTTGGAGGTGATGCGGTGCTGGAGTGGTTTTGTTAACTCACAATTTTTCAGATGTCACATTTCAGTGTGTGTAGGTCACAGATCGATGTCCACAGATCAAAGATCATTTAAAATTGGTAACAAATTAATATCCTTAGGTCAAGGATCAATTAAAATTCGCCACAAATCAATGTTCAGGTCACAAATCAATTAAATTTGGTCGCAAGTCACTTATTTATGGTCACATGTAATAGTTTACATATTATATTGCATGGATCACAAATCAATGTTCATAGGTCATAAATCAATATTGACTGTCACAGACCAATGTCCAAATTATCACATGTAACATGTTATATATCAAAGTGCATGCGTCATTGATCACAAATTCAAGAAATTTGGTCACATGTCATTGATTTATTCGACCTCAGTTATTCGAACAAGTCACGAATTCAATTAACTAGCTTTCGATGGTGAAAATTGAAGTTATTTGCTCCGGTAAGTACTCTGTAAATTACATTAGAAGCTGTTTTTCAATTTTTAGTTTCCAATTTTAAAAAATGGATTCAAATTGCACCAGAATAGCTGAGTCGTCGCTAAAGAAAATGATCCATCGTCGTCGATGCTCAACCAATGTTCTCCAACAGCCACTAATTTTTTTCCCTCTATCTTTTCCATTTAAGCTAGAGATGCTCAGTCGTCGTCGAAGCGACCAATTCGGCATTGAAGAAGTCGTCGGTTATCTCTGTAGATTTTATCTTCTTCCCGATGAAACTATTTGGATGTTGGTAACTGTGAGGGTGGATGTCTACGACTGTAAGGGACGTAGTAGGGGAGAGCGCGAGGTTGTGGGTAGGGGCCTGAGGTTTGGGGTTTGGTGGGGTGGAGTGAGTAGATTAATTTAATTTGATTCATTTAAAATTAAAAAATATTGAATTAATACCTTACTTCTGGAATTTTTAAACTTACTGGAAATTGAATTGATGGATGCTCAATGCCTGATGTATGATTTTTTCCCTTTTGCAGTTCTCCCTTCATTGGGCTACCTCCACATTATAGCCCAAAACCCACCAGCTTCAGCAATTTCTCTTCGTTCATATATTCCAGATTTTATCCCAAATTTTATTTTACAAATTATATTATTGCAATAATCGTTAAATTAAAAATTATATTTAATGAATTAAGATATTGTATTTATTAATAACTTGAAAAGGACATTAAACATAACACCGCAAATTATAAAAACCAAATTGAACGCACTAGGAAAATAACATATAATGAGAATGAATAATTTATTGTAGAAAAGATTATTACTTATTAGGACAATTCTACTTGAACAGGGTGAGGGACAGGGGCTGAAAAAACAGAATGAGCTGGCAAATCGTGTTTAGCTCCCCCCCCCCCCCCCCCCCCCCCACCCCCCCCCCCAGT